GGGTTTAATATTTTTCCTAGAACTTTTTTTTTTTTTTTTTTTTTTTTTTTTTTTTTTTTTTTTTTTTTTTTTTAAAAAAAAAAAAAAAAAAAAAAAAAAAAAAAAAGAAAGGCTAGCTTGAAAATCTTTTAAACAAAATAAATATCTTTTAACAAAAATCTTTTAAACCAAAATACCTTAGTAGTTTAAACAAGCCACTTCCAGTATTGGGTCATAGTGAGGTAGAATAGAAAAGAACATAGAATATATTGTTACAGTTCTCAGCTCATCACCACAAGATTTAGGAACAAACGCCTCTGTTCCCAAAAAGCACAGGTGTCAAAAGGCACTGAAATACTTTGTCTGCTTCCAAGTGCTACTAGGAGCAGAGATCCACATCTGGAAGACCAGACAGGTTTTCCTCAAAAGACAGTGCAATGACACACCACACCACTAGGCATAGTTTGCTTCCATGTACCTCCTACATCTGCAGCTATAATTCATATTTTACTGGGAGTTACTCTAGGGCAGCTGGAAGGGCAGAGCTTCAGGGGTTCAGGATGATGCTGAAAGACTCCACAACATGTATTCAAATAATTTAGCTCTGGGAGCTGACTTCAGGCTCCATGTGGATTGTGATCCCATCGGCCAGCAGAGGAACATAAAAGCATAACAATCCATAAATATGTTTGGGAAAAGGGTGAGGATTTGTCTGCTCTCACTGAGCAATCTTAGCAGAAGTAGAAAAGCTGGAGTGCTACGGGGGCTGATTTCAGGAAGGTGCATACAACTTGCCAGCTCATATGATTTTATCATGAGTTCTGAAACATTTGCCATCTTCTTAAAGCCCGTCTCCTGGAGACAAATAAACTTCCATGAGGATCTGAAGTTTTGTTCTGTTGGGAGTTTTAGTGGAGTTTGGCATTGGAGAGGAGTGTGTTAAAAAATTATGATCTCATCGTTTGCAAAACAAATCTTAAAAAAAAAAGAGATTAATTTCAGATTAAAAAAAATCAAAAATTATTTCTAAACAAATGTCATAAATTTGGAAGCTTGTTATGATTTTTAATTAATTTCATTTAGTTCTTGTTTTTCTTGATCACACAGTGAAGTTACTGATTGTATTTCATTCCCACAAAAATACATTTACCTTATGTTGAGATAAAAAAGAAAGAAAAGAAAAAATATAGGAACTGATCTTAAAATATGTGTAGACCCATTAATTTAATACGCTGTGGAAATAAAGTTGCAGACACTTTATAGGAGGGACAACTGTGATTTTTTATGGATCATAGGAATATGTATAGTTTTGGCATGCATCTGTCGGAGAATAATCATTTATTATGTTCAGAGAATAAGAAACCATTGCCTTCTGAAAATTGTAAGCAAAAGATGTCAGATGGTTTGGGGTGATTTAAGTCCTTAGCAGATCAAGAGAATATTACATTGGTCAAGACATTAATATGATTAGAATAAAATATATCTGGAACTATGGAAAATTTTTTTATGTATTTCTAGTACATTCTCTCACTCTTTCTAGATGTCTGGTGATGTTTGTCTGAAACATATATTTGCATTTCCAAGTGGTTATAAACTTCAAAAGAAATTAAAATGAAAAATTAACACACTGAGTGTTGGTATCTGGGAAAGCTATAGATGTGTGGGCAAACACATCTCATAGTTTTATTCTCTCTTAATTTAGATGCAAGTTCGGTAGGTGCACTGGTTAGACAATCATTCCGAAATATATTAAGCAGATCAGATTTAATGTTTTGGTTTGTATGGCAACTCTGAGACAGACGAAAAATAGCCTTTAAAAACTTACAACTCTGAAAACTATTCAGCTGGCAGCTCCTAAGTTAGGCTAATGTTTATACTGACCTCAGTACTTTTACTCCGAGCATTATGCTGTTAGCTGTTCCAAGTAGCCTTGAACTGTGAAGATAGGGTTAGTCTTTACAAGTCACATTTTCTGTGAAGTGGCTATTGGGGACAATCTTTGCTGTCAGATAAATGTTTCTAAAGGAAGAATTACTGTTTAAATTGATGTGCCTCCTTGACAGAATGGGATCCCTAGTTCCTGTTAATTTCAGGAGGGAACTCTGTAGTATTATCTAAAAAGTCTTTCAGATTTATTTTAAAAAGCATTTACTTAAAGGCACCTTCTTTATGAAAAAGCGAAAGAAAAAGGCTATGGAGAATGAAGTCTGTTTTATTATGCCTTTTATGGCCTATTAATTTGTTACCATCTATTCTGCTTTGTTGATGAAATTTTAATTTTGCCCTTGCTTGAGCATATTGTAAGATTTGTATAACTGCAGCTCACTGTGCTAACAGAAAGGCTCTTTTAGGATGAACAATTGGAGCTCATTTTATTTCTAGAGGACATTTAAAATAACTTATGAATGAGAGTTGTCAGACATGAAATGCTGTATTAATTAAATCTTATTCTAGTCTTTTTGCTTCTCCAGCTAAACCAACCCTTTAGAAAAAAAATACATGGCCACCTTAATTATATAGGAGAAGACAAAAAGTATCCTTCACATTCCTTCGCCTGAATAAGAATAAGAACTCAATTCATCTAAATAATAACCCCATTAGCTGCTTAACTCAACAGTGTACATGGGAAAATTTTCAACACAGAATGTAAGAAAGTGTTGATTGGGTGGATCGTTTTCAAGGGTTTGTTCTTCTGATGTTCAAAATGATAATTTTAAGTAAATCTGATCTGGCAGGGTTATCAGCTTTGTACCGTTTATGACTTATGACAAAAGTGTGTGTTAATATACATGCTAATGCTTCTTTATCTTTTGAAACACAGCAACAATACCATTCAAAAATAGATGACTTGATTGAAGAAACTGTTAAAGAAATTATTTCACTTCTTGTTTCGAAGGTAAAACTATTTAGACTTTGATTTATAATAAAGCTGAAAATATGTCTCTAATTATCGAACTTCTGAAATGTCTTTAAATATCGCTGTTTTTCTGTAGACAGATTGGGGACACAGCAGCACGATTTATGAAAAATAGTCATGTAGATAATGTTGAATTTACAGAATTAAGTTTTATAGCCTATTAGGTAAATAATTTATGTGCAACCTGCTAATCAGATAAGTTTCTCTTTTTTATTTCTGTTAGAAATAAGAACTGCTAGCAGCTAGTAGAACTGGTAGGATTTTATTATGTCAATATTAAGTAATAACATGTTTTATTTTTTATTTAATTTTTCACATGAAAACGTTCTTCCTATCACTAAATAGTGTTGAAATTTTATATTTGGGAATGGGCAACATCCAGAGTGTCACTATAACATTTTAATGAGGTTTTGTTCCACAAACCATTTAATTTAAAAATATTTTATAAGTTGTCATTTCTTGAAATTAGCTTTGTAGGTTTTTATATTTAAAAAGAAAATATGTTTTGACATGGTATAGGGACTTGGAGAACAATGAAGAAAACTTAATGGCTTGTGTTACTGTAGCACCGCTACTCCAGTAAAAGTATTAAGTGCTTGATATAAAAGCTTTCAGTCCCTAATAGTTTGAATGTCACAGCAAATAATGACAGAAAAGAAAGATTTTATAAGAAGTTTTCTTATCTTTGTATTGCAAACTGCCCAGAAATACCTGATTTTCAAAGTAGGAGAAACAAGCCATACATTTACAATTTGTGAGTTAGTGACAAAAAAAAAGACTCTAGTCATATTTTCATCATTCCTTCGTTTTCACTTGTCACAGATTCCTGGCATTTGGTGGGGGAGCAGGAATCTCCCTTCAGATTGATACGTACCACACTTTCACAGGACTTAAGAGGAAGACTTTGTAGAATCATTGAAGAAGTTTAGGCAAAATATGTACACTTACTGATAAATATGTAGAAACCACACATTTTTCTCTAAAGTGATGTTCTGATGTAAACTTCACTGCAAATGGTTCAACTCGACAGTTCTGAGTTTTACTTCCCACATGTCATCACTTGCACTAACCCATCAGTTTATGTTTTTAGTGTTAGTGAAGAGGAAGAGAAGGGAATTTAATCAAAGCAAATCATGCTATTACAAGTTAAACCTTTTGCTTAATTTTTTTAGTATCTGAGATTATAGAAGGAAAAAAATAGTAATATTCCTCCTGGATATATGTACGAGAAAATCTAGAGACAACTGGTGGGATTTGCATTATTAGTTGTCACTTATACTATTACCAGAGGTTGAAATCTCAGAAGAGGAAGCAAATATTCTGTCACTGGCTGGTCATTAGACACTTAACCAGTCTCTCCTCACTTGAGATTTGAAATGTGAAATGCAATGACATCCTGGTTGCTTCAGTTTCAAGGCAGAAGGCCTCTGAGGATAGGGGGGAAGGCTGATGTTTCACTCTTAGTTTTGGCCAGGAGAAATGCACATCAATGTGCACGATATCCATTTGTGTCCATTTTTTGCATCTAATATATTTTAATTATTTTTTAGCCTCTGCCACTGTATTTTTTCCTTCGCATTCCAGTGGAGTAAGTGTTTTAATTGTTGTTTTTAGCTGCAAGTCATCGATGAAAATGAAAAGAGTACTTTCACTTCAGTGGGACTTTACTTGGTAAAGACTAAACTGTGGCGAGACTTACCAAGCTAAAGCATTTAACAAACCACAGGAAGAGTAGGTAACAGTGAAACCAAGCACAGTGTGTCTCAGGGTAACCAACTCAGAGAATGTGAGGTGTATGCAGAAATGCTCCTGGAGCTTCTGCACCGAGATCTCAGAAAGCAAATTTCCAGCTTCATAACTAAGCCTTTCATTTAAATGGGACATCCTTCACACCGCAATGTTTTGCTTTCTGTTCTTTTGTGTCCCACTGGTACTGGAGCTGTTTGTTGGCACCGTGGACACCACGTTGCTTGTGAGATCAGCCGCTTCCATAGTGGGTCTTTGCACAATAAGATTGAACACCTTTCTGCAGAAAGAATCCTTGCCAGCCAGATAAAATGAGTTAAAGTATGAACAGCAGCTTCTCACAGGCATCCAACGGTAAAGCAGAAGGCTGGTATTCGGTCTAATAAAAGGACTGTAATTATACTGTGCAAGGGTTGCAGAAACAACTGCCACTCTCTGTCGTGATGTGGTTTTATTCCTTGATCGGCACCTACGTACCGGTGTCTTAATTAATCACTGTAAATATGACAGGTTAGATTGATAAATGACAAATGTAGCTTTGCACTTGCTCCTGCTCCTTGAACTGTTAAGAGCAGGGCTTATTGTAAAGTGATGATCTCAGTTCCTCTGGAGGTGACACTGTTGTGACACTGTTACAGTGCCCATTAACAGCATGCCAGATGGAATTTTGTTCTGTCCTCACACTCATAAAATGATATTCGTGGTTGTGGGAATGACTGTGTTGGGAGCAGGGGATGACTTTTAAAACAATCTTTATATAAAGTGGAAGGCAATTCATATGTGTAAAATAAATGTGCACGAATACAACGGCTGACAGGTATTTTGTGTTATGTACCATTAATTACTTGAGCAACATAACATCACAGAGGGATGTGAGAAGGGGATTTGTTTGCTTTAAGGCTAATTTGGAGGAGTTTAAACACTAAGGTTATAATTAATGCAATTAATAAGATATTTTTTTTAGTTAGAAATACATTTTGGCAAAAGCACCTTTTCATGCCACTTGCTGAGTCACACTCCTCCCTCAGAGAATCACAGGTGAAAGTATGGGGGCGAGAAACCACACCACACCAGAGTTTTGGGGCATACACCTTCTTGCCCCTTCGTGGCCAGGTAGTAGCAGTTCAACAGCACATGCTGCTGACAGAAAATTGTAGTGCTGTTACACTGTTTGGTGAAATCAGAGCTGGGTTTCTGTTCAGTAGCAAAGATAAGAGAAACACGACAATTGAGATCACCACCTGTGACAATTGTGCTCCATTGTCTTTGACGCTGTGGTCCTAGAAAAAGATGTGTTTTCTACCCAAAATTCATGCTGGTTACACACACTCCTATCATTAACCATGCGCTCTAGAGGCAGCAAAGTCATGTTGAGTAGCAGGCCCACCTCAGGAGAATTTCAGGGCTGGGTTTCTATTTCTACAGTGGTTCAACAATTTTCATTAGTTTGATCGATAGGTGAAGCTGCAAAAAGAATGTTGTACTTGATTTCAGCAATTTGTAACGTGGAGAAAGTAAGCAAATTTACAATTTGTATTGCCCTGCAGAACATTAAAAATCTGAGGAAGAAAAACTCACATTCTCATTCCATTCTCATTACATATTGTACATTTAGATTTTAATCTGTGCTTTTCCTCCAGGTTGTTTCAGTGTTGGAAGGTGTGCTGTCTAAATTGTCAAGATACGATGAAGGCACTTTCTTCTCATCCTTAGTTTCATTCACTGTAAGTGTTTGGATTCACAATAGGTCTGTTCTTCTTTTTTCTTTGCATAATTCTGAAATTGGGCACAGTCCATAGTAATAAGCACTTACTGTGTGTTTTATTTTTAATTTTCTACAGGTGAAAGCAGCTGCAAAGTATGTTGATGTTCCTGTAAGTACAACCCTTTACATTTTTTTTTTTCTAGTGTTCATAATAATTCAAAAAATCAGGGGTTTGTTAGCTTACATTTTTTACTGTTGACATTTTGCTTTCCTACAGAGATTCGTTATAGCTTTACACAGACTATTTAAACAGCCACTACAACCCTCGGAGGGCATTTCATTTCCCTCAAGCAACAAGTAACTCTCAAAGCAAAGCTTAGAAAGGTTAGTCTCAATGCACTTTTTCAGTTGTGGAAGAGTTGAGGTTTGTAACTTAGTTATTCTTTTGCAGGGATCTTTCCATCACTTGGCTAAATTGTTCAAATGTACCAGATAAGCACCAAGTAAAAGCACCATACTTGAATACTCATTATTTATTGATTTCATGCTTCAGGACTCAATCCTGCTTATTTAATCCCTTACTTGCTAAATCTGTATTTGATTTACCATTGCTTACGCAATATTTGTGTGGTAAAAAACTAAAAAGAGTAGCTGTTGGAGTTCTTCTATGCATCAAAGCAAAATTCAGCTATTAGAATATTTCAATTCGAGCATCACAGTAGAATATATTTTCTTTAAAAAAACAAGGAAGAAATTATCAAATAATGTCATTATCACTTATATAGCCTAATAAATATCCTTTGTTCTCTCAAAAATCTATATTTTCATCCCTTTTTTATGTGATTCTAAAACAATCTTATTTTCCAAGCGTAGCAAAACAATGACTAAAATTATTATGTTAATGACCATGCAAGAAATAAAATTGCAAATGTAGAGGAACACCAGACATGGTAGACTGTGTGGTGGCTAGAAATCCTTTCAGCAGTTCTATACTTAAAAATATGATACTTGCAAGCTTAAATTAATTATTTATTTTAAATCCAGGCAGCCGAAATAAAAATCTCTGTTTCTGGAATTTGTTATTTTGCTACCTTTGTATTAGCTTTATTCATAAGATAAAAAGCTGTAACATTTCTGTTCAGATGATGTTTTCAGAATTTTTTTCTTGTTTGGTTACGTGTGGACTTCTTGTTGAATTGTATAAATGCTCTTGTGTTTTATAAAACACAATCTTGCATTCAAAGGAATGACCTCATATCAAATCCAGTTAATTTAGAATACTTCTTGTTAATATATTGAGCTGTGGAGCTGCCACAAAAGGTCCTTGCTGAGGCACTTAAGACTGAAAAGCCTAAGGGAAAAAATTACTGAACAAACTAGAAATTCATTGACTTCTTTCAGATAACATGAAAAACTCTCCAAATAACATAGAACAGCTATGAGAAAGAGATGTCAAAGTCTTTTACCATTGGCCTGGATACGTTGATGTTGAAGTTCATGATAAAGATGAGACCAAAAAATACCTTTGCTGCAAGCTGAGGGGAATATTGTGAGTCAGGTCACACAGGGATGCACTGCTCCGGAGAGAGGGGAAGGCAGAGTGGGCAGGTGGTTGCTGGAGCCTCGTTGCCTTTCTCACATTCACTGAGTGTGTTGCTTGGCCTGAAGAGATGGCCAGATTATAGACAGGCTCTCACGTTCCTTCCATTTTTACAGCCCCTTTGCTTTTCAGCTCTCCCACACACCTCTCCCACAGCTCAAGATGTGAACTGGACTGTAGCACTAGAGTTGTAAACTACAGGTGTAAATGGTGCTTCAGGGATGCTGTGGATCTGACCAGGCAAACGTTTTTACAGGTTCTGGAGGACGTTTTTCCTGGGTTGAAGGAGTTTGGTAGGCTGGGGTTTGGTTTTGCTTCCTCACGTTCTTCCCCTCATTGTGAAGATGCAGTTGAGGCCAAGAAGAGCCGTTACTGTCGCAACTGACAGTGAGTGTCCAGTCTGACTAGGGTCTAAAATCACTGGTAGTGGAAGTTACAAATTCCAACTGCAAAAGGAGGCTGTAAGTCTTCACATTACAAGGTCCCCTGCTGGGCTCACAACTGAAGTGAGAAGTGGAGAGGGGAGCAGCACAGGGTGAGGAATTTATGCTGAGCTCTTGGTTGTGTGATGGTAACATAACAAGCCTACACTGGAGCTAATTAACTGCCTCGTGTGGCTGTATTTTGAACTGATAGAGTTTAAAATCTCTCTTGTCCCTCTTAACCATATAGCTGCATACGTGGAATTTAATTAAAAGTGACCACGGTAGGCCCTTTCTTTTGATACACTTGCAAATATGTACAAAATTGCACTTTGTTAGATGACGACATTCTGGCCCGTGCCCCACCTCCATTTGAGGATCTCGCTGGGTCACCTTAGGGCTGTCTTTGGGGTCCCTGAAACAGAGCTTGGTGAATCTGGGGGAGAAGGAGGGTGGGGGGTAGGGGGAGATGGCAAAAGGCCTTTGGGGCTTTTTTGAGTTTGTGAATTCAACAGAGGTTTTGATCTTTGATTACCAGGTTCAATATTTGGCAAAGAGGGGAAAATATGCTGGTTTATAGTGAAAGAAGAGGAAACTAACTAGACAAAAGAGATGCTATAAGAAAATGAAGGTAGTACTGAGCAGAATGTTTTAGAGAGAGGATGAAAGGTAGAGGGGATAAAGAAGTTAAAAGCTAAATAAAAATAGTAACAAATTCAAAAAGAAGGAGGACATTCTTGGATGATTCTTGGTCAATTTGAGGAAAAGGTTGATTCTATTAATATTGGGAGGGGATTTAGACATTAAATAGTTGGGCACAAAGATGCACACTCCCCAGAAGGCATGCTTCAACTTCTCAGGGCCAGGGTGGGAAATGTAGACACAGACCTGCAGTTCAGTTGGCAGATGTATTTGCAAAAGTGTTTCTATCTACCCTACTGTTCATTAATCTTGCCAGATAATTATGAATAACTCCATCCAAAAAAAAGAGTTTAATCCCAACTAGAATAGCTGTTTATGAGAACATTCAACATAAGCTTCCATTTTTCAGAATACCCTTTAGGAGTTGCGAGGAGCTCTCACTGCTTTCCCCAGCCAGTGCCTATAGGGCTATATGGACACTGTAATTGAAACACCAACAAAAATACTAGAAACAGTGTGAAATAACCCAGACTAGGAAGAGTAACAACAACGATGTAGCTGGTTGCTATTACACTCTTTTGTTGGTAATTGTCCCAGTATGCTAGACTCTGAAGTGAAGAAATTGTGGCTGCTGTGCACATGAAAGAAACCAAATGTTCGGAGAAAAATAACGCAAACATTACAAATGTAAGTGAAAATATACACATATATTTATACACTTACAAATATAAGCAAAGCATGAAGGATGCAATTTTTTCTCATGTTAATACTGTGTTTTGATGTTTGGGAATGCAGGACCTTATTTAAGTTACTTTTTTTAAAAAAAAAAAAAAACCTCACCTAAATCCGCTATAGATCTTTTTTAGTTTCTCTTAAAGCCCAAGCAATCTTTAGGAGATATAGAATGACAGTCTATTTTTATTTATTTTTTTTTTTAATATTTTCTTCACAAAGCCAGTTAATTAATGATAATAGGGAAAGAATGCAACAGAATTGAGGGGAAAAAAATATATATCATTAATCTCAAATGATTATTATTCCTCAACCATGCAGACAATTTCATTGTGTTCAGTTTCTCATCATGTAAGTCAGTTTCGCGCTCAAATAATTGTGTCTCTGGCTGGTCATTTCTACACACATTTGCCTCATTTACAAATACAACCAGAGCAATTACTCATACAAATTGAGCATCCAGTTACATGCATATTTATATACCGCTTTTTTTGTTCAGAAAGGTATGTTTAAATCCCTTTGTAGGGGCCAGTAATCTATGCCAGTCATTTAGAGGGCACAGAAGGAACCTAATCCTCCCTCACTTGGTGTAGGCCACCTGTCATACCAAGTGCAGCGAGGCCATTTGAAGGGCCGGGGGCTGACAGCAGTGCACAGCTCGCACAATGCCAGGCCTCTCCCTCCGCTCCTGCCTTTATGCGGGGATCAAAGGTATGAAAAGGGGCCTCACACATGTGCCAGCATTTGACTTATGGGGTCCTGTAGAGGCCAAAGTAGGAGCTCTGCCTCCTACCAGGCAGATACACATTGGGACCTTCCAGATACCGCCCTTCCCAAATATCATATTTGTACTGTGTGGCCTCATTCAGCTGGTTTTAAGAAGCGATTGACTTTTTCTGGGAAATCAGTGTTTATTCAGGTGAGGCTATACTGTATCATTCATTTTTAAGCAGGATTTACTTGGAGACCTCTGTTTAAAAATAAAGAGCACAGAACAGTCATTATCATCATGCTCAGGTCTCTCCTGCTTCCTCCTCCTCCGCTGTATACCCAAACTTGGAAACTAACCCTTCTGTTTTTAGATCCATAAAAAGAAGCTATTTCAAAATTGGAGGGAAAGCCCTGCATCACCTGTTTTAAGTCAGCAGTATTATTGAGATACCTCTTAAATGGAGTAGGAAACTTAAAATACAGTAGAACATGTGGGAAAAAACACATATTTTAATACCTGCTTTTGCCATAGGAACTGTAGCGTTTTGAAGATCTTTTTGCACTATGGAAAATCAAGATCCCAGTGCAGACACTCGCATGCCTGTGCTGCTCCATGAATACACATATATGAAAAAGTTTTTGCATAAATGCTTGCAGAATCACAGCTTAAGTTCTGCATTGACAGTTCTCAAAATACACACACTTAGCCTTTACCAAGGTTGCTTTTTCTTCTCCAAGAAGATGTATTAGAGGCACGGAAAATGCAATGTATTTTTTCATTTAAGCAAAATATTCTTTTTCATAACCTGTGAGAATAAGTTGTTTCCTTTGTAATAGATCAATTATACAAATGATGCATTTTGCTGCCTATCTTATGTATTTTGATTCGCAAGAAATTAAGGGAGCGGGGATCAAGTGTACATGAGTACAAGTAGTTTTGATTCCAAAAATATTTTAATGATACTTTAATTCTGTCCTTCCAAAGCCCAAGTGATGAGCCTTGCAGTATTTAGAGGAGAAATTTCAGGCAGTGAAATTTTCCAACGTGCTCTTTCGTTTGGTGGTGGACACTGAATAAGGAGCTCCTGTGTTTCTCACAATAGCCCCCTCCAGCTCATCACTCCTTTTCATTTCATTGTTACATCCACCCTGGCTGTAGTTAAAACGTCTCCCTCCAGGACGCAGGGGAGGGGAGGAGGGTGGAGAGGAGAGAAAACACAAAATGGGATGAAGTTTGTTATTATATAGTGAGTCTCTAACATCTGCTCTCATCTTTGAAACATTAATGCTTTTACAGGATAGCAACTAAAACTACATTTTTTTTCTTGGTAATACCAAGAATACACATTTGTTTAATACTCTCTGATGCTAAGAAATCTTCTGTGACAAATGCCAAAATGAGAATACACATAACTCAAACATTTACAAATGTACACGGTTTTTATTGAGATTCGTGACAAACTGTTGCACTGCAAAAAGCTGTGCAGAAAGTTAGGCATATCTCTGCTGTAGGAAAAGCCTAATATTAATGGCAGTATTAAGTTTGCTGCAAACCCTTCAGCAGCAAAATATTTGAACACCTGGAAATCAAGGCAATGCAGCAGTTCTTTTTCACTTGGTGCCTCAGGCAAATTTTGCCAGTGGGAGTGATGTGTGTCAATCATAATGCGGCTTCTACATCATCTTGGAAACTGGAATAATGCATTATAAAATGTGCCTCCTTGTTAAATAGACACTGTGATAGTGTTTTCCCGTTTGAAGGGGGAAAGTTAAGCTGTTTCTTCTTTATCTGAATTTGTTGCTATGAAAAAGTGCCTGTGGATCTGGACCCACCTACCAGTGAATAGTAAAAGAGACAACCTGCACCTGTGGGATTAGGTGCAGCAGCAGGAAGTAAGAGCACTTGCAGTATGTAATTAACAAGGATTTTATTTTTTTTTTTCCCAAACAGCATGTTCATCTTGCCAGGTTAACTAGTGATTAACCCTAAAAAAGAATGTGCTGAAGCCTACACCCTTGTTTAAACTCATTCACTCGCCAGTGTATTCAGTTACTTGTGTAACCAGCGACAAAGTAACCCTATTTACAACTCTTCATTTCCTGGTATTTTATTTGATGTCTTTGTGTTTCCAGTTTCTCCATTCATCTCTTTGTTTGGTTCTCTTTCATTTTCAGATAGGCAAAACATCTTGTCTGCTGTTCTGAATAAAACAAACCTACAATAACTTTGTATCTATCATAAAAAAACACTTTTTTTTTTCTTGGGGAAGTTTTCAGACAGAATACCTTTTTTACACTTATCTGGATAAATATACCAAGTTGAATTATTCTCCCAAAAATGTGCAAATAACTCTTTCTGGTTAATTTCAGTTGATGTTCTGCCAGAGATTCAGGGGAGCAGAATTTTTTATATTTGGTATAGATGTGGAGACTTAAGTCGGTCAGATGCCAGTAATAAAACACCCTTTGTGACAGTTACTTAAAACATATCTCAGTTTCTATTTGTTTGACTTATAAAGTGCATCCAATTGCTTAATTGTTGTTTGGTATTTTTATTCTACATTAACCTGGGTTTTTTTCTGAAGTTTAATAATCCAAAATGGAGCAAAAGAGGATCATGTAATCAGAGGTTCCCATCTAATATAATCCCTATTTAAAAACATGAAATATATAGCACTATGACTGTTTCGATGCTTATAATAGCTTTCTTTTCTTCCTTCACATGTTTAGAGAAAACAAATAAATTCAATGTATGCAATGTGGAGAGATAATGAAGTATTTGATATACTGTTGGCTTGTTCAATGTTTGATGTGTGTTTTGACCACCACGAGCAAAGATGGTTAACTTGCAATGATTTTGGTGAGGTTTTGAAGCAGATAGTCATACTTTTGGAGTACTGATAATCTTCCTTACCCAGACATATATCTACTGTCGGCAGACGCTGTTTAAAAGGAAAATTAATTTTTTTTTCCACAGCAATTTCAAAGATAATTATCCTGCACACATTAAAGAAGGATGAAGTGTTTTAAAGAACTGTAATTCTAATTGGTAAATGTCACCAGCTGTTGCAGTTACTCTTACTTGTGTATATTCTTTTAATGATTACACTCTTGTGCCACAAGCTACATGAAAATATATTCACTAGGTGTGAAATTCCCATATGTCACAGCTTCAAGACTAGGTAAACATCTCAAAGATAAGGGGAGAGTTAATGCTGATGGGAAATGTTATTTTTCTAGCTTTGGCTGTCTGCAAGATGAACATTTTTTTATTGAACTTAGTAAAAGAAAAAATTGCATGAATCAGAGAACCATTAGGTTTTAGCATGCAGTGAAAGATTCATTTATACATTTGAATACATATCTCCAAGAACTATAATCAGCCTTTGATTTGTTAGATTATCTCCTTTACCCACCCCTGGAGATTTCAAAATATTTTCCCATTATCCCTCCAAGTTAAAACTAGTCCAATTCCTATAAATTGCGTGTCAGGTTTTAGAAAGTACATAAGGTTTCAACACTGGTTGTTTTCTACCATCACAAATGAGTATACTAAGGTAAGATATGGAGCTTTCTGTTTTGAATCTCCTCTACTTTGTGATTTACTTTAATTTAAAAACGTTCCTGTCACATTTTAGTGAAGGCACATTTTTATGAAGGAAATCTATTCATTTCTGTGAACCAGGTTTTCCAACAGAAAACTGTTTTATCTATTGTAATCTTGATTTTTATTTCTGTGCTTAGGATCAAGGTGTGTAACTCAGATGTAAATATAGATTACCCTGCTTTTCTCTTAGGAGTTTCATGTAGGCATGTATGTATGTATGTGATTGATAAGTTTTTGAAATGAACTTTCATTGCCCCTGGAATGACCAATCCAAATGTGCAGGAGACATTTCAGTTTTTTGGTGTGAGTTTTGGAGATGCGAAGACTGTTAAACCAGCCCATTTAACTGTTACTTTTAAGAAACTGTTACTTTTAGGCCACTGATGCACACGCATAAATGAAAAAGAAAATCTTCTTGTTTTGGATTATATTCTTATATGTGTCCATGGTAGCTTCAGGAAAAAAGAGATGAAACTTATGATCCAGGAGGTTTCACTCACTGCAGTTTTGAGGGGAAATAGTTCTCATCCTGTTATCATAATGGCAGTTTCTAGACACGTATTAGTTTGGGCATGTTGCACCTTTCCTTCCCTCTTGTGCTCAGACCTGAGCACAAGATATATACATTATAATATATACATTATAATATATTACATACAAGATAATAAAGAATGAGAAAAATTAAAAATTATCTACTTGTGGACTAGAAAGAAAGCCTTAATATAAAATTATAGGTTAATATTTTAACTATATGAACATGTTTATATATACAGGCCTTTAAAATATGCTAAATATTTTACAGCTTTGTGTGTATGCTGTTTTCAGACAGTGACAGCTTCTGAGAAATAGAGATGATTTATGCCTGGGAATTCAGGGACTGGGTATAGCTGCTTTCCTCCTCCTTCCCTAGAGCTGTTACAAAGTCCATCTTAGGACATGAATCCTTTATAAAAAGCTTTGTGCTAAGGCTTGCTGTAAAGTACTATAAAACTTTTAGCCTTATTTTGCATGCCATGAACTTTAAAAACTATTATTTGGGAGCAAGTGATACTTTCACAGGCTTGCTCACACAGAGGGCATTTACAGAAGACTTTCCAAAGTGCTTGTGTTCATTCTTGGTTGCTGTTAGAGAAAAGTGAATTCCTGACCAGCTCTGTATATGCTGCCAGGAAAGGGGATGTTGCCGGCTGTCGGGGGCTTTAGTGTGGAACAACATTTTGTGTCTACAGAGGTCCAGAGGTCCCAGCTGGGAAATGCTTGAACTTAGTTTGAATCGGAATTAGTAGAAGCTAACCTCAAACACAAAATTCAGCTGTGCACTGGAAGCAAATCACAGCAAATCTGAGGTGATGCAAAAGGAACTGAATGCTTTTTTTCACCCTTTTCTTAATGTGATAGCAGGATCTGGACTTTGAAGGTGGAATAGGTCTGAGAGTCTCACTAATAAAAAAGGGGAAAATGTCCAAGTTTGCCATTGACATTGCAATAGCCAAGACTTCATTCCATTGCATATGACAATGTAGATTTATGACTCAAAGGACCCATAAATTATAACACTGAGAACTTTATTAATAGTGAACCCTTCTGAACTTGGTAACTAACCCAGAATTCCCAGCACTTTTAGTAAATACAGTTTATACATGTGTGAACGTTGTAAAAGAATCTGGGTTTTCGTTATGTTGAAGTATAACTTCTTATAAGTCTTAATTGTTGGGTGGTCTATCTCTTTCCCTTCCCACTACTTTCTCCACAGAAACCAGGGATGGATCTAGCAGACACCTACATTATGTTTGTTCGACAAAACCAGGATATACTTCGAGAAAAGGTCAATGAGGAAATGTACATAGAGAAGTTATTTGATGTAAGTAACTACCCATGCAAAGCTTGCTGGTATCACTACTACATTAGAAGGGATAAGCTACATTTTTATGATATTAAACAAGCAGTTCAATGTTCTTCCCTATGAATCATTTTTTCTTTTGCTTTTTATTTACCATCCTCAGTTGTCAAGGGGGAGCTTTCTTTAAACATTTTCTGCATTAAACTTTTAATTGGTAGAAGGCATAAATAAAATTGGTAGAAGATTATTATTTGAAATAGTAATTTTTCCACTGTGAGTAGCCCAATTTTATTCCATCTTCTGATTTTGGATGTGTTAATGGAGAAAGTGGGAGTGGTGTGGTTGCTGGACTTCTTCACAGACCTAATCTCCCTAAAATAAAGAACTCGTACATATCACTATCTGCTCGTGTACAGAAAGAGGCCAGTTATGCCAGGTACGTGTATGGCTTAGACTGGTGCTTTCATGGTATGACTTTTAGAATTTTATTTCGTTGATTTTAAGTTTAATATTTAGAATTTTTTAAAGTTGACCAAACATTTATTGAATTGTCAAACTCTTTTTCAAAATTGTAATTCTGCAAGTTCAGAGTAATCCTTCCTCAGCCTGTAGGCCCACAGATTGCCAGCCAGCCTGTATCTTTGCAAGAATTTCCCTTGGCTTTGATACTGGCTTCCACAGCCTCCCTCCACTCATCCCTTTACCTTGATTCCTCCTCTTCTTGTTAGAAATGATCACCTACTCTACCAGAATTTTCCTCATACAAGGCTCTTCATTAAGGCCAGTAGTGAGACCCGTGGGCATATTTCTGCTGGTTCAAGTTCAACCACTAATTTATATCTAGTGTGTCTCTTTCAGAGTTGTCTAAAGGAGAAGGTGTTAGGCATCTGAAATGGTAGCTTCTGTATAAATTCAAAGCACTACGCATGTAAAATATGTCTAAAATAAGAGTTATTTTATTATAAACTTGGATAAATTTACATGGCAATGTCAGTCACTTATAATTATGTAGGAATTTGAAGAGGAAAAGAATTTGTCTCTGGCACTGTGCAATGCAATTTATTACAAAACAAATTCTGGAACATAATACAGACTTTGAAATGTATTTATTTGTGTGTCATCTCCTAAGTATTTTAGAAAGCTTTGCTGGCAGTTTCATTTAATTATGCAAGTTACAGCAAATGTTTTCATAACAGCAATTCACAGCCTTTACTGTGACACTGCAGTTGTGGCAGTCACAGAAGGTCCCATAACATAGACTCTCAGCCATGGTATGTCATGTCAGTGTTTGTTGTTTGTTAGACTGGGTGGTCAAAATGAGATTTATCTCTCAGATTTTATATTTCCAGACACTCCCAGGCAGCTTTACAAAAAAAAGTATCATCTGTTTTAATAAGCTAAGTGCTAATATGTGTGAAAAGAATGATTTTATAAAAGCTTTGATGCCCTGCAGGGGTAGAAAAATTATCATCCATCCAGCTGGCACCTTCACAAAGTACTAAAACCATATTAGCAACTTCTGCTTCAGTTTGCTTTTGCACTGAATCTGCAAGCATATGTTTCATTTTCAAGTTTCTATTTTTTGTTTTTCTTTGGGGTTATTTTTGCTTATGTTGTAATTTTCTGAACGTTAATAAAATTATGTGCCTAAGGCCAAGTCTAACTCTCACTGGAGAGACCACGTTGACTTTGTTGATGTAGTGGGATTGGCCCAAGCCTTAGGCTATGTCCATAGCAGTAAACTGGCCGGGGCCTGGGCACAGGCCTGAGAACTAGCAAGTGGTTGTCCATACCATTCAGTCATCAGCATGGTTCCGGGGGCAGTTTTGGGTTAGCCCGACTAGCACTAACCCAAGGACAGTGCTCGGAACAATGGGGTTAGGATGGGTCAAGGACCTCTTCCCAGGCCTCAGAACAATTGGGTTAGGATGGGTCAAGGACCTCTCCCAAGTTTCATTTCAGCAATCAAGCTTTTCAGCACAGGGAGGCATCTCCTGTATGGATGCAAGTCATGACATAGCACTTGCCTTTTGAGACCCAAAACCATTCCTGTCCCCTTTTACTGAGTAATACGCATTGTGTGCTGTCATGGCCAATGCTTGTAGCTGTAAGGAAAGATAAAAAAGATGTACATAATAAGTATTCTGTATATCAAATATCTATTTGTAACTTTATTTTTTCTTTATATATGGTGGTATCACATTTCTACTTAACATCACACTGGAACCTATAACCAATTGAACAGATTCAGATAAATGCATTAACAAATATGTAAGCTCATAGAGTACAGAAAAAATAAAACTCTGTTAACTCACCATTCCTGAGATTAATTAAGATTTAGAACAGTATGATTGAGCAAGATTTGGCCCATGATTTTTGGAAGGGTTTTTTTTAAATTAGTGATATAACAAAACCTAGATACTGTTTATAAATTCAGTTCTATCAAGTTATATTTCAATAGAAAGAATAAGATATATTCACATTTTTATGTAAATATACTTCAAGCCATTCAACTGGCTGCAGTTGTAGATCACACTTGATTTCCCTTAAAATACATTATATTTGTGTCAGGTAAGAAATAAGCCAAGCAAAATAGGAAAGGTGCATATCTGTGCTTCAGCCAGGGAAACACCTCCTCCAGAATAACCAAAACCCAGACTATTCTATGTACTAGAGGTGTTAGTTATAAATATAGACAAGATCAGGCCTCAGACACTATTTTAATGGCAAAAAAAATGTATAGTTACAAACTCCTTGTGCATATTTCATTGACTTGATTCAGGGCTGCTATATACTAACAGCTATTACAGTGACCAAGAGAACAAGATGTCTATCATAACAAAGAATATAATTTAAAATTAAGAATAGTATGGATACAAGAACAAATGTCCACCAGTGGGTCACAATATGTTACAGCTAGAAGTTGGAAAATTTTCTATCAATCTGAGAAGTCTCAAACTAGGGAGAAGACAAAAAATGTGCATTTATGGTGCTTGGTAAGCCTGGAAAAGCATTGCCACACTATACAAAACGTGAAAATTGCGAGAACGGAATTTAAGCTTGTGCTATGAATCCATACATATGAGAGAGGCTCAAATATCCAGGGGACTTTGAAAGAAGACTGGGCTGTTAGTTTTTTCTGCACCATTTTTAAGCCATTTAAATCCTATGCTTCAGTACCCGTGCTGATCATGCAGCAGAATCAAGGTGATTATTTTTTGGCTTCCTTTCTTCTGAAAAACTTGGCTTCTGGGTGCATTTCATTCTTATCTCCTCCATAAGGGAATACAGACACCACACAGAATAATATGGCTTAGTGCTCCTGATAGCACTGGTCTCTCCCAGCTCAGGATGCTGATGTTCTCAAAATTAGTCACCAGATTTGGAGTCGCGAAGAGTTTTTACTTGGTCAGTTTGCCCAAAGACACAGGTCTTTTTTGTCTTCCTTCGCAGTCTGGGACATGGTCTTTTTCTAAGATCAGCTGGGAATTTTACCTATCAAATTTCTTCCTGTCACCAGAACTCAGGACATATATCTCCTCCTCTCATGCTGTAGCAGCTTATATTTGTGAGGGGTTTTTTTGTTTCTTTGTTTGTTTTTAGCACCACAGATCTTAAAGAACACTAGAAAGGTTTTGCAATGCGTTGAACATGTGGATGTTCTCCAGCAGCTCTCAGTTAAATGTCTGATCCATGTTCATGATTTCTGAAGCCTTAATTCAATGAGTGATCCATGTGAACCCTTCCAATCCCATACTCCACTGAAGTAAACTAAGACAATTAAGTTATATTGGCACAAGTTTCTCTAATTAACTCAATTAATAAAGCAAACTTTTCTAACGTTGGTGACTCAGGTAGATTCAATGTGCAACAACAAAATCATGAAGACAGGCACTACAGTGTTTGTTTAATTATTACAATTTTTAATTAGGATTAAAAGCATCACCCACAAAAACTTTTCTAAAGTTTAATCACCTAAACCAAGTATTCATTTTTTATAATAATGTTTAGTAAAATGTTTTAGAAACAAAGTTGTGCTTAAATTTCTTTTTTTTTGAACCAGCATTTGAAGAAAAGGCTGTAAGAGTAGCAGTTGGTGAATGGGAAAATGAAGTGTTTAGAATGGGATTACACAAACATAGAATAATCTAAAATATTACAAATATTATTAAGGCCCCTTTTTATAAAGATAATCTGCTTGATAGATGACGTAAGAACAACTGTGCGGGCTATCAAGGAACAATGCTGAGTATCTGACCACAAAATTAACAGATTTAAAAATTATCTGACTATGAAATTCCCTTGGGGTCCGGTTCTAGACTGTCAAAATCAATGGGAATTTTACCATTAACCTTAATAAATGCAGTGCTGTGTCCATAAACATGCCAGGTTATCATCAGTGGCTACACTTAGATTCGTGTTTCTACCTGAATTTTTGAGATTGGACTAATAAATCTTGAACTCTGAGCATTTTAAATTACATTAGATTTATAAATTAAAAACCCTTTCCTTTAAAAAAAAAATAATGGATTTTGTTAACAAACTAGCTTAAAAAAGACAAGCCATTTTGCATAAAGCTCTGTTTAAAACATCAATGCAATACTTACTTTTTGTAGTAATGTATAGTTCCTAAGTGCCATTTCAGTAGATTCTCACTTTCTGCTAATTGCAGATGAAATGTGGATATTCTTGTCTAAACACAGGCAAAAAAAAATCTATTTAAAACATTTTTGTTTCAAAACCATTCTTATTTTATTTGCCATTAAGAGCATTACCTTGTAGGTTGTGTTGGTTCTGTTGTGAAAAACTTATGGTATAAACAGATATATGATTCCAATTTTATTAAGACTATATATACAATGAAATTGTTATGTAATAATTGATTGCTGCTTTGAGAAATAAAGAATGGTTTAAGAGAACAGTTGCAACATATCGATGTTTAGCCATTGATACAACTTAAAGGTTTTCCAATTCTTTTAGGCTTTAATTTCTGGGAAGGGTGTGCACAAGCGTACCATAAA